CGGACGTACAGCAGCTGGCGCAGTGTCGGCTCTCCTCCGTATGTGATGTGATGCGCGGTGCGGTGTATTTTTGTGTACGGCTCTGGGTCGTATGACTAATGAGTCTAGTTCCCGCGCCCAGCCCGGTGTCGTGGCTGCTGCCCGAGTCGACCGCTCGGATATTTGGGGTCAGGTGCTGTTTGGAGAGGCGCTACTCCGGCGACGTGTGCCGTCTGTTTTCCCGTGTTTGGTTTGATCTACGGAGACAGTTGCAGCTGTTCACGTTATGTCGAATGGTCCTATTCAGATTCAGATTCAGATTCAGATTCAGATGTATTCGAATAAGGTCCACAATAAACGTGGCTTTTCACTCATTCACGTCTTATGTAGAGCAGAAAGGGAAGCTGGAACACAAGACACTACACAAGACACTATAACACGGAAATGAATAGTGCACCGCTGTCCCAAAATGACGAGCAAAAATTTAAATGAAAACCATCCCATCATGTGAATGACAGACGAACGGAAAGACAGCGCAAGGGATCTCTTTTAAACTGCTCATTACCAAACAGCAGCACCTCAAAAGTGTTCTAAGTCGCATCATTCCGCGGCGGGCTGACGGTCATACCTGGGCTGATGGTCATACCTGGGCCGACGCACAGTGGCCCTTTTTCAGAATTAGCACGCATTAATTCCCACATTACCTGAAAGTGGTGCAAGACATCAACACGTGATCAAGGACGTATTCCCTGCCAATGCAAAGAGAAGAAAAGAAACGAACTGACCAAGGAGATTCGGCCCAACAGCGACAGGCCGCTCGGCCCAAGATTTGGCGCACGTTCGTACGGCTCGCCCGCCGGCCAGCCCGCTCCGAACGCAAGTGTGGCGAGCCCGCCAGCCGACCGCGCTGCACTGACCGCCAGGACGCCCCAGGGCGTCACGTGACCGCATCTACAGCTGTTGCCAGCCACCGGTAGTATAATTTCAATTAGCACATCTTGTGGCAAAAGTCAAGCCACATTTAGGCGCACACCAGGTGACACCAGCTTCGAGCCAGGTCAATGAGCTTAGTCGTATCGAACAGGAGCCACAGCCGCTCGCGGACTGAACTGGCTCACGTTATCCACCGTAGAAGCAAAATGGCGCAAAATGGCGCGATGCCCTTTGGTGGACATGGTCAGAAGAGATCGGCGATTCGAACGATGCATAATACGACATGTTCCAGAGTGTGCCACTTAACATAAAGCTTCATATGTATGCCGCCATCTCCAGTTAATAATTGTCCTGTTATTGTGTCCACAATATTCGGCAAAAGTGGTCTATTTAAGTTTATATAATGAAAATAGTGGTTTCTAGGGCTTCTACGTAAACTCAGCTTCACAGCCATGCCACTCATTTTTAATATTTTTGCATCGAAAGTCTTACAAATTGATGTTCATCTCACTCTACTTTTTAGGGTCCGCCGGTGGTGTCCGCGCGCCTCTCGACAAACTTCGATTTTGTGGTCAGTTTTACCAAAGATAATTAGTTTTTAGGAGGTAAAAATGGCACCATCGGATGGTTTGGAATCTTTTGCACACGATAAGACTGCTTTTTACTCAAAAGAAGAGAAAAAATATTTTGAATTTATGCGTGCTAATTCTGAAAAAGGGCCACTATGCGACGGTCAGCGCTGGCCGGACGGTCAGCGCTGGCCCCACGCGACGGTCGCCGCTGGCCGGCCGCGCGCTGCGTGCGTTGAGTTTCCTGGAGCGGCGCGCGGTGCGGCGCATTCCTTCCCCACGGCCCGCTGCAGCCCGGCCAGTTGCTACATGCTGCCCGGCAGGTGGACACTGTCCCGCGCAGCCCGCTGCTGCGCTCTGATCTCATGGCTGGTGCTGCGCCGCTGCTGATCGGGTGTGAGGAACTGCAGCGCAGTATGAATGAGGCGATCTGGCGCGGGAAGGGAGTAGAGCTACCCAGCGGGAGAAAGGTGGGATGGAGGGGATTAGAGAGCTGTCCGGCGGGAGAGTTGCCGGCCGGAACGGCGCCGCTGTGGCTGTGCCGACCTGACGGGCTCAGCTCATCACTGTGTGACTGAACGGCATCCTGAAAGTCCGGAAGATGCGAGCGGACACAAACTCGTGCCCGTACTATCGAGCACTGAAGGCGGGGAACTCGGGCAGTGCTCCTCACACGTCTCTGGGGGCCGCATTGCTGTGTTTCTGTGCGCTCTGTGGCGGGCCGTGAGGTCACTGAGCGGCACCCTTTCCCTCGTCTCCCTGCGGCCCGTGTGACTGACACCACTGACCAGGTAATGAGGACTCACCGACGGACCGGGGCGCCGGGCGGTGACAGCCTCGGTGTGGGTAGTAAACCGCTGCACTATGGTTGGAAACGGCCTCACGGATGGCCGGGGGTCAACGCGAAAAAATGTTTTGCCCATAACTTATTAATGCGTAGACCGACTGCGATGAAACTTTGCATAGGTATACCAGTGTCTTTCGTGCATCATACAGTAACTCAGAAATGACGAGGTCACGTCACGTCACGCATGTGTGACGTCATCATTGCAAGTATGTTATAAGTCGCCTATGTCTTTCGTTATGTTATCGATATCGCGAGGCATTTTGAACATGTTTTGAATACTGCTATTACTGAATGGATATTGTTGTTATGCTTTAGGGCGAGAAATATCAACGTAGTGACGCACAGTGTCTTACTATTGGTCATAAAGGGTCAAAAATTTGGAGAAAGAGTATTTATGATTTTTTTTAGATTGGGCAAAAAAGTAAGAAATAAAATGACGATCAAATGACAAAACATGCGTCAGATTAACCCGGCAGTTGCTGGGGTATTTCCCCATCCGCCGTTTGCCGGGGGGGGGGGGGGGGGGGCGTTCAACGCCCCCAGCCGATAACTCGCGAACAAATAGGCGCAGCGAAACGCACGAAGCGCGGCAAACGAAAGAAGAACGCGACGAGACGATTCACATGCATACTTTAAAGCTGAATTTCGAGGTCACAGGTCGGGTCAAAGTCAGGTCAAACACTTGAAATCGGGCTTTCAGTAGCATGGACTTTAGAACCTCGCAATCGGTGCCTCGCGTTTCGCGTTTCGATTATATCGTCATCAGTTGGTCCTAAGTAAATTCAGTCATCAGTTGGTCCTAAACAATCTGTCACAACTGTCACAACTGTCACAACCCTTCATATAAGTGCTAAAAGAGTGTCAGATCAATGTAGGGGTCAGTCAAATATAGGCCACTGGCCAGGGTCAAAGTCAGGTCAATCAGGTAAGAACATAACCCCGAAAATTAAAACTGGTACCTATTCGCAGCCCATGCATGACACATGTTTTATGGGTACTTTTGGGCGTAGAACACGATGGTGACATTCATTTTATCATACGAGTACCTGACTGGTTGAAAAAAGATCAATTTCAGAAATGCATGCGTCATGGTCGTGAAGTAGTCACGAGAAATTGCCAACATTCAGTTCAAGATTTTGGAAATTGTAGAACGATGATCAAAAACCATAGATAGCCATTTGATTTGCCATGGTATTGGCAGTGTAATGGCGTTTACAGCATGTCTGTATGTCTGCTCTGTCGGTGGATATCCATATCCATACTCCAGGATATCCATACACGTTTGCACGATATCCATACTCCAGGTGCAGGGGCGAGCAGTTACTTCTTACGAGGGGTGCGGAGTCGAAGTCAGAGTCGGAGTCAGAGTCGGAGTCGGAGTCAGAGTCGCCCAGAGTCGTGGCAGCGAGCCAGGAGTCGGAGTCGGAGTCGGGGTCGGTCAGGAGCCCGCAGTGGAAGTCGGAGTCGGTCCGAATCGGAACAGCTCCATCACGACTCCGAAACACTGGCAGGGGTCCGGAGTCGGAGACAGAGTCGGCCGGAGTCATGGCAACGAGTCAGGAGTCGGAGTCGTAGTCGGAGTCGGATTTGGCGCCACCACGACTCCGCAACCCTGCTTCTTACCATCATTTATAAGGATAAGCGATTGCAAGACTGACGAGCCGACCTGGTGCTAACGAAGCGACGGGTAGGTACGCCTCGGGAGATGAAGCTTCACGGACGATTTTGCGCACAAGTGCGCAGTCTGCTTTTACGTTCCCCTTACGCAGAATTGAACAGAGATTTATTCTGCCAAAAAGCTCAATGGAGGTCGATGGAGAACTTTTTGTATGTCCAATGAAACATAAACATAATTTTGAAAATATTGCTGTGGTGACACTGCAAACAGAATGCAATGCCGTTCCTGATTTTGAACATGCATGGGAAAAAGAGTCACTCCACTCGAAAGCCAACATAACAAGGATTATTTTGCTATATAATAATCCAGTTTTACAACGTCATGGAGGTACTCCACATGCTATCAACAGCGCGGTTGTTTAAACCTTTGACGGCGCACCAAAAAAGTCACTATCAGAAACTCCCGATTCCACGTACAATAATGGAGAATAAATGCGCAACTAAATAATTTTTGCTGCCCAATTCAAAACATTTCATCAATTTCCAACAGAATGACACCCCAAATATACATATATTCCGAAATTGCCCACGGCCATCCGTGAGGCCGTTTCCAACCATAGTGCGCTGCGGCTAGAGCAGCGGGCCGCGTTGAGGAAAAATCCGCAAACATCATACGTGATAAGCTATTGTCCTGTGGGTGGTATGTTCTCGATTGATGCTAAGGAAGTGCAGGGAGGTTTTGAACCGTTACGGTTAACTGTCGACTGTGGGGTATAGCTGGCTTTCCGTGAAGTCTTCTCTTCGCAAACTCACCTTTCATTGACATTTGTCCTACTTATGTGAATAGAACTGCACTTCCGAAAACTTCAGTGGAGTTACCGGAGGTTCTAAACTTTACTCGATAGCTGCGCTGTAAATTCAGCCTAGAATTAGCTATCAGGGTCATGTGATTCTCGGTCGTTTATAAGACTAGATCTTGGTGCCGGGGCGGGCAGTAAACAGGCTGGGCTATTTCGGCAGCCCTGTTTAGTTCAGTGAGGGCGTGCCGTGACTGACAGTGTGCTGTCTTCTTTTGCAGACGATCCCCACCGGAACTTCCCCAGACAGCAGCTCAAGTACCAGCAGGAGCTGGGCACCGGATGGTTCGGACAGGTAATGTACCAGCAGGAGCTGGGCACCGGATGGTTCGGACAGGTAATGTACCAGCAGGAGCTGGGTACCGGATGGCTCGGGCAGGTAATGTACCAGCAGGAGCTGGGCACCGGCTGGTTCGGACAGGTAATGTACCAGCAGGAGCTGGGCACCGGATGGTTCGGACAGGTAATGTACCAGCAGGAGCTGGGCACCGGATGGTTCGGACAGGTAATGTACCAGCAGGAGCTGGGCACCGGATGGTTCGGACAGGTAATGTACCAGCAGGAGCTGGGCACCGGATGGTTCGGACAGGTAATGTACCAGCAGGAGCTGGGTACCGGATGGCTCGGGCAGGTAATGTACCAGCAGGAGCTGGGCACCGGCTGGTTCGGACAGGTAATGTACCAGCAGGAGCTGGGCACCGGATGGTTCGGACAGGTAATGTACCAGCAGGAGCTGGGCACCGGATGGTTCGGACAGGTAATGTACCAGCAGGAGCTGGGCACCGGATGGTTCGGACAGGTAATGTACCAGCAGGAGCTGGGCACCGGATGGTTCGGACAGGTAATGTACCAGCAGGAGCTGGGTACCGGCTGGGACAGGTAATGTACCAGCAGGAGCTGGGTACAGGAGGGTTCGGACAGGTAATGTACCAGCAGGAGCTGGGCACCGGATGGTTCGGACAGGTAATGCACCAACAGGAGCTGGGTACCGGATGGTTCGGACAGGTAATGTACCAGCAGGAGCTGAGTACCGGATGGTTCGGACAGGTAATGTACCAGCAGGAGCTGGGTACCGGATGGTTCGGACAGGTAATGTACCAGCAGGAGCTGGGTGCCGGATGGTTCGGACAGGTAATGTACCAGCAGGAGCTGGGCACCGGGTGGTTTGGACAGGTAATGTACCAGCAGGAGCTGGGCACCGGATGGTTCGGACAGGTGATGTACCAGCAGGAGCTGGGTACAGGATGGTTCGGACAGGTAATGTACCAGCAGGAGCTGGGCACCGGCTGGTTCGGACAGGTAATGTACCAGCAGGAGCTGGGTACCGGATGGTTCGGACAGGTAATGTACCAGCAGGAGCTGGGTACCGGATGGTTCGGACAGGTAGGGCCCAGGGTATACACCACGCAATAGCTTTGTCGAATTTTCCCTGCAACATGTCCTCAGCTGTGCTGGAATTATCATTTTCGGTCTTTTTTTCCAGCAGAATTAGATATAAATAGATGCTGTCGGAGTACTGCAACCAGCCATGTGCTGTAGCAGCTGACACAGAAACACCAGACATTCGGGTATAAATAAAAGTCACATTTTATTCGCGTAGGTATGCTGGAAGCGGTGGTAAATGCGCCTTTCTTCCCACAGTGGCTGCGCTACCGAATCTGTTACTGAAGTGAATACCTATCCCATGTTATTGACTGGACGCTGCCCCGGCTGCTCTGCACACAGCCCTTTGTGCTGACTGACCTGACCGTCCCTCGGCCGATGACCTGACGGCTGCCCTGCTCTCGCCATGACTGACCTGACCTGACCTGACCTGACCTGACCTGAGCTGACCCTCAGGCGCTGCTGGGGGAGGCCCGGAACCTGACGGCCGAGCCGCGCACTGACCTGACCTGACCTGACCTGACCTGACCTGACCTGACCTGACCTGACCTGACCTAACCTGACCTAACCTGACCTGACCTGACCTGACCCTCAGGCGCTGCTGGGGGAGGCCCGTAACCTGACGGCCGAGCCGCGCACTGACCTGACCTGACCTGACCCCTCCCCCCCGTCCGCAGGCACTGCTGGGGGAGGCCCGTAACCTGACGGCCGAGCCGCGCACGGCTGTGGTGGTGAAGGCGCTCCGGGCCGGCGCCACGCTGCCTGAACAGATGTACTTTCTACACGAGGTGAGTGACGTCACCAGTCGGTCACAGCCGCCGCAACTGATGGGTGACTTCACTAGCTGACGTTTTTTTTTTTCGTTTGGGTCGGATATTATAAGGTACCAAATGTGGATACTGGATCCGATGATGTTTGGCGTACAAAGATGTTTGGTACGGCCTGCCGGACAGAGTACGCCAGTCCTGGGTCCGTGTGCTCTGTTTGCCCGGTCAATGGGGGAGACCCGGGAGGTATGGGCCCCCTGGAGGTATGGGCCATCGCTGTTTTGAAGAAGTGTTGCGTATTTTTACACATTTGACCGTGTAAACTGATAGCAGCCATTCCGTTATACAACCCACGTGATTTCCAAAATCTTCCTCAGTCTTCTTTGGCAATGAGCGGTGATAAAGCGTTTTTGCCCTCTTCGAGTAAAATACGGTACATACAGAAAATTCGTGAAAAATTTGAACCAGGCTCATTTTATGATGTCACCCATCGCTAACATAAAGTTTAAAGCATGCAAATTAAGACTGGATAGACAATTTGAAGCTTTCTTGCAAGATTATGAGCTGAGATGCCACGCACATTCCGTAGTCCTAACCGGGAGGTTCGGGCCACCCACCCCTGTTGATCCTAAATCAATAAAATGATGCTTTCATTGAATATCCTCTTCAATAACTTATATTTTTGTCGTGCAAGGTCGAAAATTTAACGACATGTGACGGCTGACCTTTAATGCCCCACTGTCGGACATGTGACGACTGTCCTCTAATTCCCACTCTAAATTGCTTGACATGCTCGAGCTGCACGGCATTGACACTGCCTGGTTTCGAAATTATCTTGACGGTCACACGCAAAGCGCAGCCATCTCTGCCTCACAGAGCTCCCTTCCGCTCAACATTAGCCAGGGCGTCTTCCAGGGGTCATCGTTGGGTCCTCTCTTGTTCAGCATCGTCGTTAACGATCTTAGCTTGTACGCTGGCGACTCTTTTATCATTCAGTACGCCGATGACACCCAGGTTTTAGTCTCTGGACACAAGTCCGAGCTACCTGACCTTATCTTAAAACTCGAGGCATCTCTCCAGTCGCTTGGTGATTACTTTCATTCGAATGGTCTAAAACTTAACGAGTCAAAATTCGAGCTACTTCCCATCGGCTCACGTCAAAATCTGCGAGACCTCCCACCGTTCACGGTCAAGTTTCGGCAAGCCGTGCTATCACCTTGCACTGAAGCAAAAAATATGGTGTCACTTTTGATCGCCATCTCACTTGGGACTCGCACGTATCGCAACTGTCACAGAAATGCTTCGGCATCCTTATCGGTCTCTCCCACATCCGCCACTACCTACCATCCGGTACTCTCCCAATCCTTGTGTCTGCCCTCGTCCTTTCCCACGTCCGCTACTGCCTCTCCGTCTATGGCAACGGGTCTGCCAAGAACCTCGCCCCCATCAACAAAATTCTAAATTTTGCGGCCCGAATCATCTCCGGCAAAAAGAAATTCGACCACATCTCCTCTGTCCGTGCCTCCCTCGGCTGGCCGGACCCCTCCACTATGGTTCAAGCCGAAACCCTAAATATCCTACACAAAGCTAGACGAACAGGTCAGCCCGAGTCACTAGCTGCACTATTTGCCACTAATGCCGAGCGTCCAGACCGTAGCCGCAGCACCAGGCAGGACCACCTGCTTAGTCTTCCCCGCGTACACGGCTCGGCTGCGGGGAAGCGGCAATTCGTGTACCGCGCTGCCGCAGGCTATAACGCCCTACCACGCGAGTTCTGGGACATGCCCACCTCGATGTTTACCAGCAAGGTCTTAGAACTCTTATCTTCGGTGACATGAGCTGACACGTCGCTGTAACCGCTTTTAGCTTCTGCATCGTGTGTGTAGTGTGGTTTATGTGTGTTCACTTTTTATCCTCATCATTGCATTTCTTAGCGTGTGTTGACTCTGACTCGAGAATAGCCCTGTGATTCCGATCTCATGAAGGGATGAGTCTATGACGTAAATACAATACAATACAATACAATACAATACAATACAATTCCCCACTTACCACTGTCGGACAGATGGCCTACCTGCGGGACGCCAACCACCCGAACGTGCTGCGTCTGCTGGGCCGCTGTCTGGAGGCCGACCCGTACCTCCTCATCCTGGAGCGCTGCGGCGCGGTAAGTAAAGCCGGCGCCGGCCGGGAGTCGAACCCGGGACCTCTCCGGGTGGTGAATAAAAACCGGCACCGACCGGGAGTCGAACCCGGGACCTCTCCGGTCACCCAGATCAACTCCGGGTGACCGGGTCCAGATCGCCCGTAAGCTTCCATATTTTCGTTAGGAGAAATGTCAGTACACGATGTCCACACATTGAAAGCTGTCCTGAAACACATGATAAACAATCTGAGTCATTAGCCTTTGTCGGTAGCGACTTCTAATGGAACAAACCTTTAGGCATCTACATAATGAGATGCATGATAAATGTAGGCTATTAGTGAGACATAGATGAGAGTAATCCCTTAATGGGGTTGGGAACTCGATTTTTTAAGAATGCATGAAAATGATCAAACTATTTTCACAGAATTTATGGTGCATACCATTGCCTCATAAAATCAATAAGCTGAGAGAAATGGGGGAAGAAAGATAGGGAACTTGTTTTGAAAAGTTCTTGAAAAAAGATGCTCTTGATGCTGTTACGTCACATGTCACATTCTGCGGTTGACAAATAATGGCGCATCTGGCGCACCACAGATTACATGTTATATCAATGGGTGAAAGATGTTGTTTGCTTCACTCTGCCATTCGCGCTGTTTTTAACTTTAAATTATGCTAAAACATTTACGGATGAAATGTTCAGTGTCAAAAATTGATGTGTCTGCCGTGTACTATATTCCCACTTAACATGAGCGCGTGATAAACATTTTATGTACCTCGAATTTTCAAATGATAAAGATGATGAATCGGAGGATGCTGAAAAGCAAAAGCTCATTCCAATATTTGGACTACTTTACGATTAAAATGTTTACATTCCTGTCATCTTATTGATCATTTATTTGTTCTTTTTTATGAAAATAACTTAAGGCGTTGAGAACCGAGGTAATTTCTATCTACCGTGCCTTAACTTACCAGCAACAGCAATCTATCTACGCCCTACGGTGGCAAGGGAGACTGTGAAAGAAGCGTAAGATGGATTCTAAACAATTCTTTTGTGATATACTGAAGGGCAAAGTGCAGAGAAGAGCGTACAAGTCCTGTTTTGTGCCAGGCTGTTGCAGCAGCACTTATGAAACTCCGAAAACGATCTTCGTTCATGTCCCGAACAACATTACCCTGAGGAGATGATCGTCTGCAATAGCAGGAAGAGCTGATGCAAGTACTTTGAAATCCACTATCAAGTCGGTGCTATTGTTGTTACGAGCGAGCGAGCGCAGCGAGCGAAGTGAGTCTTTTCAATATAACGGAAAAATCTCAGTATGAGCGGCCCGGCCCGGCCCGGCCCGGCCTGTAACGCTTTTGAGAGGCTTATATCTCAGCAACCGCTGGACCGATTGGCCTGCGGTCTTTTTTGTTGGGTAGCCCAATCCCTTCTACCCCGTAATTGACTACTTTTGATACATCTCAGTGACCGTCGTGGCACGTGCCACGTGAAAAGTCAAGGGTGTTCAAGCTGTTTTGCAAAAGTAGTGATTTTGAGAGGCTCATATCTCAGCAGCCGCTTGAGCGATTGACTTCCGGTAATTTTTGTAGGGTAGCAGCATCCCTTCTACCCAAAATAGGATACTCTCGAAGCATGTGGGTCACCCACAGTGCACGTGCAAAATACAACAATAAGAGGTGCCAAATTTGTTCCCATTTCAGTAACTCGGTAATTAGTGGGGCGATTTCGCTGAAACTTGGCATACAGGTAGGCACCCACCAGGCAATGCATTCCCATGTGTTGCGGTTCGGGTGCTACTGCACGTGCGCACGTGCAGGGGGCGTTTCCAGATCTCGAGAACGGCTGGGCCGATTGCGCTCAAATTTGGTACACGGTTGGGGACCAGTTAGTAGGGTGCCGTGCAAAAGTCATTTTGGACCCCGTTTGCACGTGCGCACGTGCAGAATGCCGCTTCCAGATCTCAGGAACGGCTGGGCCGATTGCGTTCAAATTTGGCACACCGCTAGCAACCGGTTAGAAGGGTGCTTTGCGCAAGCCCGTTGGAAGCACCCTCTCGCCCTTCCGCACGTGCAGGGCTCACTATCTCGCTCGCTCGTTCTTCGCCCAAAAGGCGTTTTACTGGTAATGATCTCTGTGAGGTGAGATATTTTGTGCAAGGGCTGAGTGTAATGCCCAGGAAATGACCTCCATTCGCCCCCTGACCGGTCAGGGTTATAAAATTTGAGTGGATGGCGGTCCGTTTGGGGTTCAGATGTCAATTGTATTTAGTTACTGCCAAACAATACATGTTATGCTGGCAGCGAATGTGTGTAACGTCGTTTTTCGAAACAGAAGTTAGAACTGTAACGGCAGAGTGCTTGCTGGTCTCATCGTAAGTATTGTAAGTGTTGTAAGCAAAAGCATTGTCAATATTGTAAGTATTGTGAGCATTGATGTATGGTAGATATCACCTCACATGATCTCGGCTCAGATAACCCTCTCCGGTGTCCCTGTCAGTAAATGGCACCTGGATCATTACAGATAAGATAATTTGTCATAATTCTTAAAGAATTGGGTGGTTTTGACTCTTTACTCGAGGTGCAGGTCGCATTTCAATACTTTTCCATAGGCTTGCAATGTAAAGGTCACGACTCTGACCTAACCTCAGGTCACAGATCAAAAATTCTGAGATATACAAACGACACATACTGCAGGTACTGTTTTGAAGACTTGATGAGAGGAAATAACTTCGTGAAAAACTCAAGCTCTGACGTGATTGCAAACTTTTCTGAGGTGGGGCCAACAAACCCGCTCTGGTTACCTGGCCTGACCTGACCTGGCATTTTTTTTTTTTTTTTTTTGCTGAGATGTGCGCAATGAGCATTTAGGAAAAGTCACCAAATATGAGCTGAATGTCTCGCGGCGTTTGGCAATTGTACAAGAAAATCCTGAAAGGTCTCCCCGTCCGAAATAGGGTTAATGTGTATATGAAGAGTTGCAGATGCCAAACATACCCAGATCTAAGACTGCAGTTCCCAGCGCCGCTGCAACGTTTTTAAAACAAACATACATAGGACATACAAACATGTTTATTTGCATCTGTTTTGGATAATAGCAACTCATGGCGCCATCACCCGCGATAACTGTTAGGATTTGAGATATATTTTTATTTAGGCCATTAGTTTGGCTGTAATGTTTATTAATATTAGTTGGGCGGAGTGAAGTAGTTTTTTATTTAACTTGTGGTATGTTGTGCTGATTGCGGGTTGTTCAAACCTTTCAAACGTAAAGACCTTATTGAACTCAACCCTACCCCTACACTACCCTACATACGACTGGACGCTTTCCAAGCCCACAAGCATCACGACGCCGAGATGGAATGTAGCCGAGAAATCACCCTCGCCATCTGCTCTAGAGCTAATCGTGTGGGGCGGCGTGTGGGGCGCCGCTTAGCCTATGGGGGTGCACTTCTAGTGGATGGGGGACGGGGGTGCACCTGCACCCCTTTCATATGGAAAGTTACTTCCCTGATTACAGCTCCCCGTATTGCACCTAATCAGGGAACGGCCAGCAAACGAAGGAACTATTTCTGGATGACAGGCGAATAACCGCTCACGCAAGGAGCGGAGCTCCGCCCCGTCCAAAGTGGCCAACAAAGCAGAGACAGAGGCAGCATCACATCTTCCATCAAAGAACTGGTTTCTGGCTTGGAAGATGAGCTCCATCTTTGCATCCGAGTCAGTGCTGTCAGGAATCAGCTGGTCTAATGGAGTGAGAGTAGTGAGACGACTAGCTTGTATCAGAGCTGCCTGGTCTTCGTAGCATTTGCACCGATTCTTCTCGATCGGACTCTGAATTCTGTCCCTCCTGCGTATTACTTGAGGCATTGCTATGTAGCTAAGTCTTTGGCAGAGTTTCATTATCCATGCTTTGCAAACAGTGCCATAACAACACAGTTAATTAATCACCAAGCTTCTTTGCAAGTTCCAATACAGTTGAATCGCACGCGATTTGAGTGCAAAAATCAAGAAAAGTGCCAACTTGTTCCCGTAAAATATTTTGAATATTGACCTAAAAAAATGAGTAATTTCCAGATAAAATAACAGCGAAATCAGTTTTCGCTTGCCAATAAAACTCACAGATATTGAAGCTCCATTATGAAAGGAACATTTTAGTATATGCCATTCTTGATAAAACTTCTTAGCCACGCAATACCAGCGCAAAATAAAGAGACACTGAAAACACGACCAATCACTCCGATTTACCATAGGAAAATACATAGAAAATGTATGTCTCAACTGCGCCAAATATACAGACAGTTATATACCTACATGTGACGTCATGATTAGCCCGACCAATCAGAAGCAAGTCGTTTTCAGCCACAAATAATTAATTTCTGAACTAACTAGGCGTTTTTTTAACAAAGTGATTTTAAATTAAATCATTAAAAATTCTGACATTTTTTATTTTACCAAAACATACAGAGCATGCAGATAGGTCCCAACCCTATTGTTATAACTCCCCCGGTTTCCTGAAAGATTGTCTATAATAGCGTGTGTGAATGTCTCTGCCGTCGGGAGGAAAAAAGCCGTATCTGGGGCAGTTTTTCGAATTGAAAATTGTTCAGGAGAGGCAAAAACGCGTTTTTTGTTATAACATTCGTAAACTTTGCTCAATAACGAAACAAAACATACTGCAGTGATCGGAAAGAAATTTTACATCCAATGAAAGTGATTTTAAAAGGGAAATTATTTTAACATAAAAGCAAAAGGCGAAAAACTTTTTTGCTTCCAATTCAACCCCGTGTTTGCGGAATCTTTCTTTCACGAAAAAAGCCGTATCGTGGAAGAAAGCCGCATCGTACGAGACACCTGAGCAATACCGTCATGCAAAAAGCCGTATGTCTGATACATTGGTTAACCGATCGGGAATAAAGCCGTATCGCCATTTTTGTTTAACCATATGTCGTCAAAAAGCAGTATCATCGGTGCATTTGTATTTTGTATTGACAGCATATTGGTTCATAAAAGTGCTAAAGCAGCTCCGCTGCTGGTTCCGTTCCACTGCTTCAGCTCTCAAGTATGGATATTTAATTGAACGTTTAATACAAAAACAAACATGATACCCATTTTAAAACTACATCCATGCATAATCGCATTATTGTCGTAACCTAAGGCTCTTGGATTCTGATTGCGCAGGGTGCCATCAAAAGGCAGCTTGACCAACCGACCAGGGACGTAGCCAAGGGGGGGGGGGTACAGGGGCCATGCCCCCCCCCCCCCCTCTAAAGGCTAAAAATGAAATAAAATTTAATAAAAAATAAATAAAAAATGACCACAACTGCACCACACTGTCAAAAATAGTGGGCCAAATCCGAGGAGTTTCCTTGGGGGGGGGGGGGGGGGCACGACACTAGGCCGCGACCTGTGGCGCCTCCCTGAGCAAAATCCTGGCTACGTGCCTGCAACTGACAAGGGGAATCACGAATGCTGTCTTTGTACAGTGCTTCAATTTTCGATTACACTGGACTCCAGAGTTTCTTAAATTCTGAGCCACCGATATATTCGGAGAGATGAGTGTGCCGGTCTGCCGCTGCCACGGCGACAATGTCGAGAGAACCGAGATAGTGTAGTTTCCCATCGTCGATCTGTAGACCTCAAAGCACTTCAAGGCCCAAGGGACGATGAGTGGGAATGTTGCTGATTAGCTGGACACAAGGTTCCCGGAAAAGGGACGATGTTAAGTCACGTGGTGCGCAGCTACAAGCACGGAACCGCCCGGCTCCTGAACCAAAATAGAGGATGGTGTAAGAACTTCAGGAATTCCCGTAAAGAAACTGCATCTACAAAACCTGTGCGAAACATCTAGGGCGACAGCACTGTGCCGCGGCTGAGGGTGTAAGGAAATGCTGCCTCATTGTCGGAGATCGCTAGACTGCTGAGAGCTCCACACGTCTGCGGGAACGCCCTTTAGAGGACGCACCCTCAAAAGGCCCCCCCAATGTGCACTCGTATTCACAGGGATCTGATTATAGCGCCTACTGCAACAGAGCAGAGGGCTATTCAGTACGTCTTGCTGCATCCTCCACCGGCCACAGCTGTGCTGGTAGGCTCTGGGCAGCTGCCCGTAGAATATGACAATGTTCGGCTTGTGTGGGTGCTACAAGGTAGCCTTAATTTCCAATATGATTGAGCATCATGGGTATGAGGGAAACGGAAAGAAGACGGTAAAGTCATTGACCAGGAATGGAAGTGACAGGCGATGACGGTCCCAAAGATACATGGGTGTGGTCACAATTATCACAATGAATGTGACGAGGTTGGCAATAGCAATAGACCTTTCTGACGGTATTCAACTATATCTTCAACGGTTTTAAGACAAGGATTGTAGGTCGCCGTGCTCAGCGTGCCGGCTACGAGCTGCATGTCTATGATGATAACCGGGTCGAACTTAACATTATGCTATTTTGGTTCTGGGGTGGGGTGGGGACAGGGAGGCCAAATTAATCATGGGGGAGGCCAGGTCGGGTATTTTTTATTGGAATTTTAAACGAAGCTGGGGAAAAGAACGGTCGGATTATACTGGCGCCCCCGGCTGGTTAGCACATCAAAATGCTGAATGCCCGGCACCCTGCTGATACCACCGAGTTGGCAAAGTTCTGTTGGCTTCAAACTTCTCAAGCTCACTCCCTATTTTATTTCAATTAAAATTCCCCTATAAATGGTCACATATTGCTACGATCACGTAGCATGTTTGTGTAAATGTTCAACTGTTCCGTCCAGGATATGCCGAAGCCATGCTAAATGAGTAGATACGGCTTTCTTCCAAACTGCCTGGACCAACAATTCGGCTCATATTTCACAGGCCGCCAACAAATAAAAGCCGTATCCACAAGATACGGCTTTCTTCCTGACTTATCAGTTCCACATTCTTTGTTTGAAATTTTGTATAAATGCCGTATCTGCTGAATTTAAGGATACGGCTTTCTTCCTGCATGTTTTGCTATCCCTGATGTAACAAATCCGTTTTTGAATTTTTATATAATATATAACATTTTCATTTTTGAGTGTATACACGTTTGAGCAGTACCATTAAACGCATTATGAAAAGAGCTTTCCAACGATATCAAAAACGAAAAATCGATAAAAATGCCAGATACGGCTTTTTTCCTCCCGACGGCAGGTCTGGCGGACCACTCATTCCGCGTCTGTTGCGTTCGCGGTGGAGCGGCCGTCACCATTTCACCGTGACCAATTTAAAATTTGTAACGGCACTGTGCTATTTCACACTTCACCCAGAGGCATGCAGCCCCTCAGCGGGCTCAGCTGCCGGTGGTGGGCCGCTCCTTTTCTCCCTCGCTCGCCGTGGCTTTGTCTGCTGCCGTCTGGTGTTGTCCAACGAACTCACCTCGGCCTCGCCGTGTTCAGCTCTGCCATCACTGTATGATCTCTGACCTCACTCTGCTGACCCCTGCCGTCACCCGTCTGACCTCTGCCGCCCCCATCTGGCCTCTTCCGTCCCCCATCTGACCTCTGCCGCCCCCATCTGACCTCTGCCGTCACCCTGCCGACCTCTGACCTCCCCCAGTCGACCTCTGACCTCACCCTGCCGACCTGTGACCTCACCCCGGTTGACGGGCCTCACCCGGTTGGTCGGCAGGGGGACGCCAAGGAGTTTCTGCAGCGCCGCTCGCCGGCCGAGCGGCAGCAGCTGCTGAACACGATGGCGCTCAACAAGATGGCCATGGACGCGGCGGCCGGCCTACAGCACCTGCACGACATCCACTACACGCACAGGTGAGGGTGCACTACACTCACAGACACTACACACAGGTGAGGGTGCACTACACTCACAGACACTACACACACAGGTCACTACCATACACTGCCAGTACCTACCGCAGGGCCTACAGCACCTGCACGACATCCACTACACGCACAGGTGGGGGGTGAATTACACTCACAGACACTACACACACAGGTGGGGGTGCACTTCACCCAGAGATGGGCTTAAAATGACCTTGTAGTCGGGGCGCCCTTAAGCCCCAATAAACAAACAACAACACTACACCCAGAGACACTACACACACAGGTGAGGGGTGAACTACTGACTACACTCACAGACACTACTCATGAACAGGTGGGGAAGATGTAGACCATACAGACACTACACCCAGACACTACACTCAGACACTGCACCCAGACACTTACACCCGGACACTGCACCCAGACACTACACTCACCGACACTACACTCCAGACACTACACACACAGGTGAGAGGATACGTATGTATACCCATTCTGAATGCGTCTGTCCATTCTGCAGTCTACGTCCAGAGGAGGTAGTCCTACGCCAATGACTTGCTGCTCTGAATAAGTCCATCTCGTCTGCAGTTCCAAATATAATGCCGTTCGCTATATTATATTCATAACTGCACATATACTTTTTTGTCAATTGAGTTGAAGCTGATCTGAGCTGACCTGACCTGACGTGTTCGCAGTGACCTGGCGGCGCGCAGCTGTCGCGTCATGAGCAACCGCACGCTCAAGATCGGCGACTACGGCTGCAACATCGACAGGTACAAGGTCAGTGTCGGTGGGGGGGGGGCGGCCGCGGCGTGTGCAGCCGCTGCCCTACTCGGACAGAACACAGGGAACACAAGTGAGCTGTGTCTTGTGTCTAGGCTACTTTGTCTTTCAACCAAAAGGGTGTGCATGATATGTATTTACTTCACGTATCCACCGATGAAGAATGGGGTTATTGTTTGCGCACGGGCCGTATTTTATGATTTGGTTCGAGCGGGCTCGTCAGCCGGCCCCTGCGACTGCGCTGGCGGAGACGGCTGTCGGTACCACTGGTGACTGGATTGTGGTCGACTCCAGAGCAGCCACCCTCCGAATGAGGTCGCCCAGTGGGCGGCAGTGAAGCCCGCCCGGCTCCACAGTACACTCAGCAGATGGAACTGCCTGGCGCGCGGTTATTGGACAATGTGGGCCCGGCCGGTGTCTGTACCGGCCCGTATCGGACCCCGGGCGCGGCGCGGCGCGGGCCGCCCGCTGCCACGGTGACCGCGCCTGCCGTGACCCCGGACGGACGCGGGGCAGAGGGTTCCTGCGCGGCCGTCAGTGGGACAGTGGGCCGCGGTGGGATGGGACAGTGGGCCGCGGTGGGATGGGACAGTGGACCGCGGTGGGGTGGGACAGTGGGCCGCGGTGGGGTGGGACAGTGGTGAGTGGGCCGCGGTGGGATGAGACAGTGGGCCGCGGTGGGATGGGAGTGCCGCGTCTGATTAAGGCCCGGCCTGACACCGAGTTCAGGTGTGTAAGTTTAGCACCTCCGCTTTGCAGTGTGTCAGTGGTGGTGGTGGGGGGGGGGGGGGGGGAGGGCTACCCTCAGGGTGGGTGTGTCGCCGTTCTAGGAAGACTGGGGTTGTCGGGTGGCCGCGCCGGTCGGCTGTTATCTTTGGCCGTGGTTTCCCGGCAGTGATAGGGAGCTGTCCGCCCAGCGATGACTCAGGGCTGCGAGGGTACGGAGTGCACGCGATCACCTGGGAGGGGCAGACTGCGGGGTACGAGGTGCACGCGATCACCTGGGAGGGGGCGGGGCACACGCGGCCAGCGCTCTTACATGGATATGTAGTGTGTACGCGCTACGCGAGTGTCACAATAGAAGCTCGCTGACACTAGCTCTGATAGAGTCGAGGTAGCTTTGCTTGTCATCACAGGACCAAAAATCAGGCGAGCACTTTTTGAAGCTGCTGCCAATGCCCCAAGCTCCATCGTCTTGTAAGGGAAGCTCGGGTTGTGTAAATAATTCAGAAGACCAGGCTGATCGTGACCACGAAGCCCGACATGGAAGCCAGAGCCAGACAGACGTGACACTCGCTGAATTCATCTGTCTGCGGCCGCTCCCACCAACTGCAGACAATATCCGTCGGAAGTCTTATATTGAGCACCGGAGCGACTCGAACCCGGGCTCTCAGTACCGGCTGCCCGACGCTCCACGAACTGAGCCGGCGGGACGAGCATTTCGGTTCAGAACTTCATCATGACGAGGTACCGATGTCTCAGAGATGAGGCTAGCGTTACGCGATGTTTATTCTGGGCTCTGTTCTCCAGCTGGATCTGGGAATCGGGACTCGAATGGTTCGAGTTCCCCGTGCAGCGGTGTAGTTTTACCACTGTCCCCGCGGAGTTTGTTAATTCAGCCGAGTTCTCTGTCCAAGTTGGGCTGTTTGCCGGGCGGTAGTGGGCTGTGGTGGGCCGCTCGGCTGGACGGTAGGTCGGCCGGTGTGATCTGTGGCCGCTCGGCCGGACGGTAGGTCGGCCGGTGTCGATCGGTCGGTCAGATGGACGGCCGGCCGGCTGTGATCGGCCACGGGTGTGATGAGCGGTGTGTCGACCGCAGTCGGCTGCTACGCTCCTCAGCCCTGTGACGGCTCTCTGACATACCCCCGAAACTGACCGGGACCATATGGAACGACTAGTGATAGGGAATCGCCTGTCTCTGTCCAAACGCGGCGTCTCTGGCTAAGCACTGGACTGGAACATCCACCGGTCTCGGTCGGTGGCGGTTACCGTGGCAGGTCGCTGAGCGGGCGGCGCGGGCAGAGGTCCCTCCTCTGTGGCGGCGGTATACAGGGGACGGGCTCGTCCTGGGAGAGGACCGTGTGATGGGCGTCCTGTGTAGGGCTGACGCACCTTCCACCGCGCTGCTGCACGCTGTTTGTTTGGCGTTTGGCGTGGGCCAGCCGTGTGTCACACCGCGGTAATAACCCCCATTATATGCCTGTGCAAAAGCAGCAGTGCCTGAGTCAGGCGCCCCGCCGCCCAGTGTACGGCTCCAGCGGCGGCCAACTGAACAAACACTGCCCGCTTGTTTTTGGCGTATGGCTGGCCAGTTGAGGTGAAGCGATATGCCGTGGCCGCTCGGCCCCCGGATAGCTCCGGCTCTGGCCGCTGGGCCGGTGGTTCCCTCTGAACAATCGGCCGCTGGTGACGCGGATAGTACGCCCCGCGTGACACGGTGCCGGGTGACGACCGTGACGCCGTACCGCACCGTAACGCCGTGCCGCAGCGTGACGCCGTATACGTGCAGCGTGACGTGACGAGCTGGCGCCCGCCACAACACGCGGTATCGACCGGAGCGCTCCTCCCTGCGCGGAGTGGAGAGACGTGGCGCTGCCGACGGTCACGGTCGGCGACGGTCGCCGCTGCTGCTGCTGACCCGAGCCGGACTCTGAGTCAGACCTGCACACAGGCTGTGACCGCCACAGGGCTGACACAGGTCGGTCTCCGGGTCACCCATTACACTCACCGTCCGACGCCGGGGACCGGGCTGACACAGTTAGGGGTATCCGGGTCGCCCATTACACTCACCGTCCGACGCGGGGGACGAGTGGCCAGTGCCGAGGTTCGTGACGCACCTGAGAGTCGCTACTCACCCGAGGCTCCTGACTCACCTGAGACTCCTGACTCACCTGAGGCTCCTGACTCAACTGAGACTCCTGACCTGACTCACCTGAGACCCCTGACTCACCTGAGGCTCCTGACTCACCTGAGACTGTGGGGAGACTCACAGTGGCGTAGTAATCGTGCGACTAACAAAGGCTTTTCATGTATCCATATTTTGTGTGTCGAGTGAAACAGACTGCTGGCATGAGGGATGTATCATTTCGCAGTGGCATTCCGCGTGAAAGACAGTGTGCAGAGTGGCGACTGCGTACTTGCGTTATAGTTGGGACTTCAATTCGCCCCGCTCTCCAGCGAATGGCCCACAATGAGTATTCGATGCCCTCTTTAGGCGGTCACTTCTCAGCGCACGTGGTGCAGTCGTTGGCCGACCTTTTTCAGTTCCGCTCTCAGCTCCAGTCTTTGGATGCCGGTGGGGAGACCGGGTGCATCGATTTTACCGCGGCCAGAGTGGAACATATAGAACGCACGCACGTGTCGCTCCAGCAATAAGGCTTGTGGCGCCACACTCGCCTTTCAGCAGCGGCAATTACATATTGGACACGGTAACCTAGTTATGTTGGACAGTATGGTACTGTTGACAGGAGCTTCTTTGTTGCTCTATCTTATGCATTCACATTAAATAAGAATATCAAATTCGTCGAGTTTAAAGGTAGTGTGCCAGCTTTCTTGGACCGTATGGAGTTAATGGCCCAGATAAGGAGAACCGGATTTTTAGAACTTATCCATACCTTCAAAACTCATGGAAACGTCTTAAATTCTTCAAATTTTGAGTACCCCAGTGCGAAATTCGCCCCGACGGGTTGTCGGTCGTACCCCAACCCAACCACATTTCACACCACTATGAACAATAAATGCACACACTGAAATCGCTATTACCGATATGCTCATCCAATCAAGTTTCGATAAACCCGTTCATCATCATCTCCTGCGGTTTCGAACACGCCTGTTAGGTGGCTTCTGATGCTCGTCGAGGTCGGAATTTCCAAATACGCGTGGTGCGTCGGGCCGCGCGCTCTGACTTCGGCCAAGAAAAATGCGTCAGCTGATCATTGTCATTTCTGCCACTTGCGTGTGGTGAAATGGGGTCATAACTTATAAGACGGCTTTTTCATATCAATTATTTTACATAAAATCATATTTCAAACCATAAATAATGTTCGACAGCCAAATAAAAGAAACAATACCAATACGGGCTTACAGTTTAAGGCTCGACATTGTGTTGTCTACGATTAGACAGCTGATAACTCATTCCCGTACGTCGTATGGTCGTAACTATAATGACCTTTGCTTATTGTCACAAGTGCGCCGCATTCGCGATTGTTGCCCGACGCCTGTTTGCAGGTGAGCCCACTACAGTTGTTATACATATCTAAAAACCGATAAACTTTTAGGCGAAAAAGGCACTATTCCAGGCCCATTTTTGATTTTTTTTGCGATATTAGGTAAAAACAGAAGCTTCTTATCCTAGGAAAAATAAAATGGGAAATCTTTCAAAGGTGGCACACTACCTTTAAAAGCCACGGTGTTCCGGTATTCTCAGCTGCTCGGTGTCTGCTCTAGGAAGTATAGGTGCCCCTTTAGGCTTCCAGTCGGTGAGCCGCACCCCTGGCCGTCCACATGTCGGGCCCTCTGGTGGACCGCCTGTCCGTCTGGTCTGATTATCTAGCCTGGTGCCATGCCGTCTGGACTCCGGTCGTCCAGCCGTCTGCCCGTCCGTCCGTATGGTCCACGGTGCGGCGCGGCGGCGCCGTGGCACAATAGAGCTGTGCTGTGCGTCCAGGGGTGGGTGGGGGCTATCGGCCGACGGGCGAGGGCAAAGGGGTGTGGGCCGAACACGTGGCAGCCGAGGGGGGAGAGAGAGAGGACACAGTGGAGCGAGTCTCTTCAAGAGCGCTCAAAGGAAGCTCAATGCAGCTTACATCGATTATAAACACGAGTATGATAAACCATTTTGCTACTCGAGGAAATACTGTGGACAGCACTGACGACGAAGTGCTTTTGTTGACGCGGAGGAAGGGGACCTGTCGCACATTTGTCTTTGATGATAAGTATCTCGACAGCGATGAGCCGCTGACAGACTGACGTTCATATCGGCATGATGACCCGCCGGCGGTACCACCTCCGCTGTCAGCCCCGCCCCTCTCCCCGTCTGCCTCTCCTGTCTCTCCTGTCTCCTCTCCTGCCCTCTCCCCGTCTGGCCCACAGCAGTGGCAGGCACTGTCTGCAGCGGGCCAGGGTTTCCCCGATGGTCCGCCTTTAATGGCGATGGGAAGATTAGCGCCGCCAAGAGCAGCGCTCGGTCGAATGGTTCTGCTGAGCTTTTAAAAAGGAGAGAGATTAGATGGGATTGTGGGGCCATCCCAGAGCTCGTGTCTGGGTCTGTTCGGGTGAAGAAATGTGACAATAGATGGAGTGGGGATGGCGCGTGCACCAGCGCTGCCGTGCTGACCTGTTAACTGATAGTGGTACGTGTCCCTGCATTGCACCATGTTCCCGTATTATTTAAAGCGGAGGAGCCCTGAACTTTCCCAGCCTCATCCACCAGCTATTGAAGAACTAACTAAATGATCAGGGCCCAATATATAGAGCACTGGGTGGGAACAGCTGGGATGGTACTTTACTGACAGGTGGGCTATATGTATACCTGTTCTTGTATGCGTATCATGGTACGATAACTCCACCACGATTCAGTCTGCAATGGGCCATTGGCCCTGTGCTGATGACCGGCCTAATATCCTCTGATCAGCCCATCTTTCGGAAAACCTGTAGAGTATCCACAACTGTGCCGACCACTGACCTCTGACCTCTGACCAGTATCTGACCGCTGACCACTGACCGCTGACCGCTGGGTCTGTGTTCCCAGGAAGACTACTATATCGCCGGCGACGTGGCCCTGCCGGTGCGGTGGTGCGCGCCCGAGATACTCGAGTGCACGCCCACCACCATCGAGACCAAAGAGGTGAGGGGGGGGGGGGGGGGGACAGATGTAGGAAAGGAGAGGCGTGGGGTGAGAAAGGGGACGTTGTGAGGTGGTGTTGGTATCGTTAGTTGTTGGCGGTAAAACTTGACGATAAATCTGCCCTAATGCTGCCCTGGACACTACTGATTTACGCTATGACCTGTGTGTGGATTGCAGCTCCGGTCTTCCTCTGTCACCGGTGCAGTGGCGGTGACCGGTGCGTCAGCCCCCCCCCCCCCCCCGCCCTGCTGAGTCAGTACCGTTGCCCGACTGAAAGTCCCTCCCTTCCCCACCCCACCGCGGCGGAGTGACTATCGTATTGTATCAGTTCTGGAACAATCCGTCGTCATGTGTTGTTTCCCTCCCTACAAAGCGAAGGCACTTTCCCACCTAAATTCCCAGCGCGGCTGATTTGTGTCACCCCTCCCCCGCCGACCTCTCTGTCCCGCCCCGGCGCACACTGGTCGGAAACGCCCTCACGAGAGGCCACGGGCGATTCCGGAGTTTCGGATTATTTTTTATATAGATCGATTTGAAATTGATCAAATTATTATACTTAGGCCAAAAAAACTAATCCGGGTGACCAAAAATAGCTGTAATCAGCCCCCGAAGATGGGGTATCCCAGAACTCGGAAACTGATGCGGAGCAAGGGGTTTCTTGAGCCGGATATTCAGAGTCTTATTGCTGATAGACACCAAATTGAAATCCCACATATTATGCATCAAAATGTTCGTTATGAAGTTGCCGACTGGTCAGTGCAATTTTTTTGGTATACTTTTTCCCTAACTAAGATGTACTATAGCTTTTTTATGAAGGCTCTCCTACAGTGATTCTGGAATATAACTGCAAAGTTTAGGTAAGGAAACAACAGGTAGTCCCATCTAGTTCCACTCTGATTTTTTGTGAGATGAAGTAGGATTTAAATTTACACCAGGGCAACATAAAAGCTAACTGCGCATATTTGCGCAAAATTTGCAGGAGTCGCTCTTCCTACCCAACTACCGCCCGCCCCGCCCCAGTTTCGGCTCGGCCGCGCCCGCCGCGCCCGGCTTACGCTGACCTGTGTGGCCTGCACGCATCCATGCGTAGTTGACTGGTCATTAAAAACAGATGCGCTTGAGTTTATGAATTTTGTGAAAAGCGCGTTTTATGTAGGGGAGAGCGGGGCCAGTTGAACCACTTTTTATATATTGACATGCACAGCGAGATCTAGTTGTCATATCGAAAAATGCACAATGCCATGAAAAAATATGCTCTTTTGGCTTTATTTTAAGATATGTAAAATTATGTTTCAAACATATTTTGCTGCCAAACGCATGCTTATAAAACAGCTCTACGCCCGTTTCAAATGACCCCGATGCGAGGGTCAATTGAACCAGCCCATGGGGTCAATTGCACCTATCCTTAACAATGGGATGTTTTCCTCTTTAAGGCCACTTTCTTAAGGAGATATTTTGTCCGGTTTACTTTTCCAAATGCTACATTCAATAGGTCGTTGGAAAGCTAAAAGTGCAAAGTTCCTCATAATAGGCGACATAAAGTACATAGACTATGGTAAAATGGGCGGATGAGAAAAATGAGAAATATATCATGCTATAGTGTGCTTTCAAGCAAAAAGCTGGAGAAAAGGGGGTCAAAAATTGAGCTCTATTAAACTACTATTTCAGTTTAAAAGCTCATTTCAAAGGTGAACTATTTCCTTTAATGTTTACAGCCCCTGAACAATAACCATTGCAAAGGTCACCGGGGTCCATTGAAACGGCCTGTGGCCCTGTTTCAACTGACCCTCAGAGAAGCGTTTCAATTGACCCCATCCGCTCCCGCCATCTCGCACGCGCCGTAAAGCACATGTCAAACGAGCTGGAGGGACGGCATCATGCTGAATGAAGGGCCAAATAAGGTGTTATTCCGGAGCCAGGAGTTCTTCTTTCAGCAAAAAAAAGGTATATGAGATATCACAAAATATTCATAAAAACGATTTCTCCCAAACGCCCCTCAAAAACACAAAAACAAGTGTCAAATCAAAATTACCGTGCGTTTGCCGCCCAAACGCCGTTGACAAAGGAAGTGGTCGAGCGCGGATGCGCAGTGGTGTCGGCAACGCCATATGTTGCATATTGTTGAAAATAAAGCCATGTTTCATCTGACCCCGTGTTTCAACTGGCCCCGCTCTCCCCTATGCATTTATGTATGTATTGACATCAAAAGCCTTCCACATATTGCGTGGCGATTACGGCTTGCATTTAGAGAGCCCTGCTATTGACAACCATCACTCGGCTGAAGAAAGTGGAGATTGAAACCTTCGTGAATATAAGACGCTGCAAATATAGGACACCTGTCACTGACGTCGGGTTACCTTGGGCCGTCTTTTTACATTAAATCACAATTCCGGTATTTAACCCTGGCCGGACCGATTGGTTTTCTACATTGACCGGGGAGGGTTGGTACAACTCCCTCGCCGTTTCGCCTCTAATTGAGCTAGAGCCTCGCGGAAAAAAACAAGCTTGTGTGCCGTTATAAGAAGCAAAAATTAGGTACTACCCGATTTTAAGGTCTTAGGTCAGCCAGTGACCTCTTAGGTCAGGTAAGTGCCACAAGCCACGGGCTCGGTTTTAGGTTAATTACTTTGCCAAAAATGGTCGCACTGCCGCGATTTTGGCATAATCGTGTTTGTCTAGCTCAGGCGCGTTGAATGCTAGGGTGAAGTCCATCGCCGGCACAGGCCATTTTGCGTCCTTCGACGGCACAAGGGGGGGTTGGTACGACCCCCCCCTCGCGTTTGGCCCCTGATCGAGCTAGAGCCTCGCGGAAAAAACGAGCGTGTTGCCCGTCACGAGAGGAAGCCGATGATACCCAATTTTAAGGTCCTAGGTCATCGGGTGACCTTCCAGGTCAGGTCAATGACCCGAAACCGGGAAAATCGGGACCTGTTAGAAAGTCGTAAATTGTGGCTGCTATGTGGTTTTCCGGGGTGCTGATCACGAATATCGTATTAGTTTTGATCAGAGATGATGTCTTTAAGCATTTAGACCAGGTCGGGTCAGGTCAGGTCAGGTCAACCGGTAGGGGTTGTGACGGGTATTCGTAATACGTGTCAACCGCCTCTGACAGCTTCGTAACATGTTACGAAGGCGCCAAAACTACTTCGTAAATGTTCAAATGGTTGCTATATTAGAATTCAGCTCCAAAAAACTAGCCTAGAAACATGTAAAACTCGAAAAAGTGAACCGAGGTCACCCGAGGTCACCAAAGGTCAATGACCTGACCTTCAGGTGACCTTGACACCCATCCTAATGTATGGGAGCAACATCAAATCACATGTTTGAACGTTTGAAACCACGAAAAGCTTGCAAACGCGCGGCTAATGCGAGCCGACATCCGCCGAATCGCGATTTCGGCCAAACATGGTCACGGAAAAGAGGTCACAGATCAAAGGTCATTGGGGTCAGGGTCATGAAATTTTCAGGGTAGGTGTAAAATTGATCAATGCGAGGGTACTGAAAGTTTCGTCGCGCTCGGCCGCTTTTTACGCGAGTTATTCGTGAAAAACCTTAGGGGGGTTGCATCACCCCCCTTGTGCCGGCGAGGGTTAAGGTGTCAACCTCGGGTCAAGGTCAGGTCGGAGCCCCTCAGGTCACGAAAATGGTTGAAGGAGGTCATATCGCATATCATTCGATTCGGCAGGTCTTCCTGAGTCCAATGGTGGCTTTCCCGACTCTCTAGCTCCATCTGATCAGGAGATATTGACGAAAAACTTACATGGCCTTAGTGACGTCATAAATGACGTCACACAAAGTCAACAATGCTAAAGTCAAGCACTGGACCTTGCAAGGAGTGCATGAAACCATTCCCGGTGCCCGAATAGCAGCTGCCAATTTCCCTTGTTGACCTAAAGTGGTGCTAGATCCTGTATTATACTCAATTATGACGTCATAACTTAACAGATTCACGTCATATATTTAGTGCTTGACATCCAAATGATAGCTTACATATGACAGAGAAGGTATGCAAAGTTTTATGAAGTTTGCTTCACTGGTTGTGGAATAACAAGCAAAAAACTTTTGCGGAAAGGCCGCTGGCCTCTCGCTGGAGCGTTTCCGACCAGTGTGCGGCGGCTCTCGGATCTCGGTCCCCCCGGAGTGGTGAGTCGGCCGGGCCGGGACTGCGGCGCACGCTGGGCCGGCGGACCGGAAAAGCGCTAGAAATACCCCCAAGAGTGACTTTCCACACTATGAACAAAATATGTATCATTCGATCCCAAATTGATCAAAGCATACGATTCTGATGCCATTTTTGCCCTAAGGTCGAAATTGAGGTGGTCAGTTGTCACCAAACACAAGACTATTTAGACCCACTAGTGGCCACCACATTCGCCGATTTTAATGCCAATCTTTATTTGATATTTATTAGTTGACCAGTTATCGTTTTGAACGCAATTTTCTGTCAGACTAGTTCAGGGCACTGTTGTTCACTGTACCAACAACATTCTTACATATTGCATCGCTTTTCTGCAAGATAAGCTAGCTTTTTGCAAGCAGCTGCAAGACCTAAATAAAAATCATATCTAAATTTTTAAATAGACTTTTATAAAAACGTTATTTCGAGCGGCTAAAAATGAACATCTTATACTAGCCTCTGATTACTCATCTTTCGTTCCATATAGGTGCTTTGCTGCTTTTCCCTGCTACTTTTCGAGATATGCGCCAGTAAACCATATGATGTAGGGGCAATTGTCACTTCGCCGCTCTACTGACGGCCCGGCGCTCTTTATAGCGCCGAAATTTATGAAAAACGAATGTTTATAATCTGAATAAAATATATGTCCCTGAGCTCAGAATTGATCAACGCACACAATGCTGTCAAAATTTTTGGGCCAAAGTCAATAATTAAGTCATTATGAACCTCCAAACATAAGTCAGTGATAATCAACAACAACTTGCTCTTTAGTTAGACTTTTTGAGAAATGTTATTTCGAGCCGCTAAAGATGAGCATGTCATG